GATGCGTCGACCTCTGTGATCGTGTGAACGTTCGGCAACATTTGCAGATAGCAGCCCGTGACCAGGAGGAGCCGCGTCTGCGCCACCAGCATCAGATGCAAATCTGTTACCTGGCCCGCTTCGTCAACACCCGTCGCAATCACATCTGTTGCCTGCTGTATCTTCGCGCCCATAACGACGGTGCTGACAACGAAAGGGTGCGTACTCAGAAGCCGCTCAAGCAACTGACCGCCCAAGTCGTTCATGCGCGCTTCTTCCTCTGTCGGGTATGACTTGGCTATGTTGATGCCGTCCGACTTTTTGGCGCTCCGAAGCTGCTCCCGTAAAGCTAGGTACTCGGTAGCGTCGGTTCGTCCTGGTCCTTGCTGCTCTACAATCTGCTCCACCCGTGCCTGGAACGTCATCGGGTATAGTGGATGCTCTTTCCCAACTGAACGCATATGCGCCTCCGAAGGTACCCACAGCGACCGGTCCCGGTCGTCGCTCTTGTAGAGGCGGTTCGCCAAAGACTCGACCTGTGCGTTACAAGGTGAAACCGCTAAGACGCATCCGGGTTTGCCTTCGCCATATCGACGGTAATGCGCGCGGAGCAGAGCGATCAGCAGTCGACTCTTCCCGGCGCCGAAAGCACCGTGGTACAAGAAGAGCCCTTTTGGTACCGCCGAGGCCGCTTCCGCAAACTCGCAATCCACAAGAATTGGGTCAACAGATTGAATTTGTGGATTAAATGACGCCGCCGTCGGATCTAAATTTGCCTGCTTCAGGTCCCCGACGTCGAGCGCTAGCGGGATCTTCTCGTAGCAGCACTGCTGAATCCGTGTTGTCTCAACATCCGAAAACTCGAAGCGCATACTTGCTATCGTCACGTCTTTAAGGCAGGGAAGGCTCTGGCTTGCTGCTGGCCAGTCGGTAAGCCACGACTTGCCTTGTCTCCAGACCTGCTGCTCAATCGGTGCTGTCATATTCGGCACATGCACCGTCATCGTGATCGCTGCCACCATTTCATCTGCCGAACGCTCCGTCCCAGATAAAAGAACTAACTTCGAATACGGTGGAATTGCGACACGGTACCGAGTCCAGCCCTGGGCCTGCTTGCTGAACTTGAAGTCTACAGCGACGCCGTCCTGAAATGTGTACACGGGGTGCCGCGCTTGAATCGCTGCTATGTACTTGTCACGCGTGTCATATAAAAAGTCGATGTACTCTTCGCCCTTCGGGACCTTGGTATCTGCGAACTCGCGCTCTCTCTCCCGTTGAACCCAGCGCCGGGCCGCTTCGTGGTAGCACTGTTCACTCTCTCCAAAGCTGTCTTCCTCGTCGTCGTTCGCCGCTTCACCGGCTGCGTCACAGGTTTCGGCCCTGGTCGCCTCTGTGCCGAGGTTGGCTACCGACGCGGGTGCGTCACCGGTTCCGTCTGCGACGTTGTCCGGCTCTGCGTCCGAACACTCGCTGCGAACGCTCGACGCGATACTATTCGGTGACCCGAATGCGCGCTGACAGTCATCGATGAACTGCTGTACTGCCTCCGGCGTTTCATCCGGGTCGTCTTTGACGTCAGCCCACGATCGGTACGGCAGTGCTGGCCGTTCCGACCCCTCCGAGTGTACGCTGCTCGGCGACTTGGGCATCGCAGTCCCATCCGAGAGGATGCTCTGCGGAGATCCTGAAAAGTTTGCGCTTCTAGCATGCTGCTGCTCGTTGCTTGTACTATCGGGCGTCCCGCCCTCGAAATAGCTGTGCCCATCTCCGCGCGAGGGCGTGTCCATGATACTCTCCGGCGTACCCCCTTCGAAGTATCTGTGGCCACCATCGTGCAACGGTGTCGCGTCGTGTTCTTCTGTGATAGGCGCAGGAGATCCTTCCGAAAAGATGCTTACTGGTGATCCGTATTGCGGCGCCGAAGCAATGCAGTATCGCGCCTGGATGCTTCTGCGGTTTTCGCTATCCTGCATAAAGCTGTCCGCTCGGGAAATCGAGGAAGGCTCTGGGTCATGGTCTATGAAGACGCAGCCATCAGCCAAAGAGGAGTAACGACCTCGGAGCGCGAGTGGAACGCGGTCGAGGATGTCAGTATCGACATCGTCGTCCTGTCGCGTCGAATCCGCGAAACTCTGTTCCTCGTATTGATCACTCCCGATGCTTTTCTGCGATACAGGACCCAAATTGACGGACCGCAACATTCCAACTCGACCCGATGACAGATATTCGATCATCGGCGGCGCGGTCTTGCAAGACTCGCGCACCTTCTCTGTTTCCGGATCTGTGCCACGTGCCAAGGGAATTCGAAACCTGAGCTTCTCGTGCCGTTTGTACCCCTTATGCGTGTCGAGAAGATCAACTTTCGCAATCGGTCGTGGCTCGCCTCGATTCAAGTCGTACATCTGCTGCAGCGTCATGCCCTGATACTTCTTGAAGCGTTCCGCCTTCGAAGCACTGATCTCGGCCGCGTAACGCTCTGCTGCTCCCTTCAAAGCTGGTCCGTCCATGCCGAGGCTTGCTTTCAGCCCAGCTTTCAGCGCCTCCTTCTGCCTCGGCACATACTCAGGATGAGGGGCCTTGCACGAATCGCCATCACAGCAACAAATGTCATACAACTGGAATAGACACGGGTACTCTGCGTCAAAAGCGGGCCCGCAAACCTCGTCGTAACGGCCGCTGCTCCCCTTTTGGAAAACGAAACGATATCGCATGCCGTCTCGGTCCGCTCGTGTAGAGATGCGATAACGCCCTGCCTTATCTGCTGACGCCTTCTGAAACGGGTTGCCAGACGTGACGTCGCTCTTGTTTTCGCCAAGATAGAGAGGTCTCCGCGAGCCAATTGCGTGATTGGTTCCGTCAGGGCACTCCCCATCACTCGGAGCCGGTGTCCCACCGTCGCACGGCGCTCCATCATCCGGATTATGCGCGGCGCCGCCGCTGTTGTCATCGCCGCTGGCCATTGCAAAGCGGCCTCCCTTTCCGCTGGTGCCACCAGTTGCGTCTCTGTTCGTGTCACTCTGCTGGCGCTGATTGCGCTGCTGCGCACTGCGTTGCCCGCCTGTGCCGGCACTAGCTCCAGGCCCGTTGTTACCGTTGCGCTTTTCAAGCTCTGCAATTCTGTTTCGCATCTGCGACACCTCTGCGTCAATTGCTGCTGACTCGTCTTTAATTCGTACCACAGCAGCAGGCGCGATTCGATACCCACGAAGAGACGGCGGAGCGTTCCTTCGACTGTAGGTCAGTGCGATTTTCCTGTCATGCAGGTTCTGCATACTCAGTAGCAGCGACTGCCAACAGCCGAACTCCTGCTTCAACTTGAAGCGCGTAAAGTTCTTCACTAGGTCCTGATGCATCGTCTGCATCTCCGCAAACAAAGACGGGAATCGCGCCGCGAAGTGCACCTCCAAAATTTTCCGCATGTTCTGTCCACAGCCATAACTCATGACTAAGTCGCTCATCGATGTTCGCGCCTCGATCATCTTGATGATCTGCATGAGAACGAACTTGTACTGGGTGTCCGATGCGCGGAGCATCTCGCTGGTCGGCTCTGTCTCTACAGCATCTAGGAAGTCGTCGATGCTCACTCGCAGCTGAGCCGTCTCGCCGCTCTCCTCCTCGGTGACACCGGGCTGCTCACTCGCGTGTAGCTTACACGCCAAGTTGAATGCTCGCGATACTGCGTCTGCTCGTCCACGTGATTTGACTCTTCCCATCCCACTTTGCTGCGACAAGAAGCAGTAGTCCCAGGTGTTATCCGCATATTTCAGCAGCTCCTTGTAGTACTTCTTTTCGAACCGGTCGAGTTTCCCGAACTCCTTTGGGTGCTTTGCTGCGATGGTTTTCTCGATCTTCTCCAGCCAAATGTCATGCAGCTCTTGAAGCACCTTCGGCACACGGTCTTCTCCTAAGTCCTCTGCCAATTGTGCAGCATATTTCACCAGCTGCGTTCGCTCGGAGCGCCAGGAAGAGCCGTCTGATGCAAAGATCGGAAACGCTCGCACCCAGTACTCCTTGTTGAAGTCCGCAGCGGTGTAGACCTGGCGAATGTCACGTGGCTGGAGAATGTCGGCAAGATCGTCGAGGCTGTCGCACTCGTGGACGCATTCAAGTCCACCGACGAACTCTTCAGGTAAGCCCATCCTCGTTGCAAATTGCACTAGCATCGTCTTAAGCGTCCTGTTCGTGATACATATCCCGCCCATCAGAAACGAAGAACGGCCGCACAATGCCAAGTCGTTGCTCAACCCGCCGAATTCGATCATCATCTTGAGGCGCTGCTCTGGATTGCTGCGCGACGTTATCTGCTGTAAAGCCGACGCTGTTTCCGCTCCCGTACTCGTCATTCTCCAAATTCCGAAACAAGGTCGGACTCAAATCGCGGCCGCCGCGCCCGAATGGAACTTGCGGTCCTGAAGGTGTTGCTTCTCGTCTTCGCGCTCGCGCTGACTGCTCTACACGGCCTCGCCCGTCCGATCCGCGTGCCGAGTGATATTGCTCTGAATTCGCCGCATCAGAGGCCGCCGTCGCTAATGGAAGTCGCGGCTCTAGTGTTCCACTGATCGATCCCCTGAAGTCGTATGACTGATGACCATCGCCGTCTATCCGGTGCCCAATCGGACGGAGGCCAGCAGAAAGTCGCGGCTCAACCTGCGAAAGTCGCGGCTCAACCTGCGCTACGCTTCCACGATACAGCGGGTCCGGGTTATATGATTCTGCCCTACGTGGTTCCAACTGGAGTCCAGGCGGCGCTCGAGGTGCCGAAACGATCGTGTCGCTATTCGCTCGGAGACGTACCGCTGACCGCCTCGCGCCAGTGGCGATGTCATGCGGAGCCGCAGCAGAAACAGGCCGATACAAGCTGCCGTCCCGGAGAAGCGTCTCTGTTGTTCGTTTGGACTCGGGCGAGAGCTGTTCTCCCGTGTAGAGTTTCGTGATGATCCGCACTAGATTCTTCTCATCAGGTGCAGGCGCTTTCCCAACACTCCTTGCCGCGGGTCGGCTGAGTGCAGACTCAAGGTCATCCCAACTCTTATCCGAAGACGCGCTGCTGCTGTTCGCAGCACTCTCTGGATGCGTCTGTCGTGACGCGAAGTATGTGTGATACCGCTCCGGCGCGCCCAAGTGCTCCAATTCTTCGCTACGTTCACTTTCTCCGTCGCTGTCGTGTCGCTCGCTGCCGTTGTCGCTTGCTCCTTCGTCACCGAAGTCGAACTGTCGATCGTCCTCGATGGCATCAAAAAGAGGATCTGCTTCTTCCGTGTCGTCGAACGTGTAATCTCCGCTACTCAACGCCGCAATACGCGACGCTAGTACCTCGGCGGACACGTTCTTCGAGGATGCGTCGACGGGAGGCCTGCCGAGCTGCGCTCGCAGGCCTGCCTCCCGTCGGCGCAGCCTCAAAGAACGCGGCGTGACAATTTCCGTGTCGTTACAGCCGACGATCCGCGCCAGCGTCGTAATGCGCTCCTGTCGCTCTACTTGCGAGAGCTTTCTGCTCAAGACGCACCGCGTCGACTGCTTCGCAAAAGAATGGATGACCTTCATGTACTTGCCGATTGCCAACTTCACGCGTGTGATCAACCACCGCCCGTTAAAGCCGGTTGTCCACGGGAGCTGCTCTTGCTTTATGAAGTGCCGAAGCGCTCTTGTCGTGTTGGTGAAGGTCGCGGCGCCCGTCCTGCACTTGACAAAGCCAAGATGCAACCGCTTCCCTCTCGGCGTGTCGAGGGCTTTTACCTCTTGGCCCTTGATGTCATCGAGCTCTGATTTCGCCTCCTTCCGCAGGTCCTTCAGAAGGAACTCCTCCGCCACGTCCCGGACCAACTCTTCTCCGCGCGGGCTTGTTGATGACAAAGCAGGCCCGTCGCCAACGATGACTCCGCCTGGTCCTCGTCGTTTCTTCGAGCCGCCAGTCGGCGGTGGTGGATCAGCTGACGCGCTCATCTCGCCTCCGCAGAAGTGCTGCGACTACCGTGCAGATGCTCCCCTGTGGTCTGATGCCTGGGGCGACGTGGCCTTCTCGTCTAACGCGTTGTTATGGTAGTCTGGTATCGCCTGACTCTGCTAAGCTCCCGGAAAATGGCCGCTGGAATTCGAAAAGCAAACCTGCCTGCGTTTCCGGCTAAAATTGGGGCTCTCAAAGGTTGTTGAAATCGTCAAAAGTCGCCCAAAACGGTGAAGGCCCAACGCTCGAGACAGCAAAAGTCGCAAATTTGTCAGCGTTGGTTCCGTCCGGCAGCTGGGGTTCGTCACAAGTTGCTGAAGTGACGAAAATGATGCCGCTGCTGCTAAGTTCCCGGAAAAGGTCGCAGGAATTCGAAAAAAGCAAATTTGCCAGCGTCCCGTCCTACAACTGGGCTCCCTCAAAGGTTGTTAACGCGACGGAAGTCGCCCGCCGCTGCCAAGTTCCCGGAAAAAGTTCGCAGGAATTCGAAAAAAGCAAATTTGCCAGCGTCCCGTCCTGCAACTGGGCTTCCTCAAAGGTTGTTGACGTGAAAAAGTCGCCCGCCGCTGCTAAGTTCCCGGAAAAAGTTCGCAGGAATTCGAAAAAAGCAAATTTGCCAGCGTCCCGTCCTGCAATTGGGCTTCCTCAAAGGTTGTTGACGTGAAAAAGTCGCCCGAAACGACGAAGACCCGGAGCGCCAAAAAGTACTGCCTCGCAATTGCAGCTCTATCTGCGCAAGACCGCGCCAAGAGGTAGAGCTGTGATTTCGTGGTTTTGTTGCTGGTTGGTGTAATTTCGCGTGGATGGGACAAACTTGATGATGCAAAATCCAAAGTCCGCAAGATCCAAAGTCAAGAATGCTTATAAGTCCCTTTCTGGCGCGGGCTCGTAGCCTCCGGACTTGTCCTTGACGTTACCCGGCCGGGACTGACTGCACCAGGATGATCGCAATTCCACTTAGTGCTGCCGTAAACCCAAAAGTCCACTGTTGCCACAGGAAACCGCGTATCGCAATCCCCGTGTTGCTCCCGTAGAATCGTAAACCCACTAAAACGCCGCCGCAAATCGCAGCCCCACAATTGTCGCCGTAAGATTATAAGCCGGAGATGGTGAAAAGCCGATAGCGCCGCCAAATTTCAACAAAACGACGCGGAAAGGTCAAGTTTGAAAATTTGCGAGGGTCTTGTGCTGTTTCTGGGCTCGTGAAAAGTTGTTGAAACTTCTGAACCGTTCCCGCCGCCGCTAAGTCTCCCAAAAACGTCCCGGAAAATGCAAATTTTGAAAATTTGCGAGAGTTTCGTGCTGTTTCTAGGCTCGTGACAAGTTGTTGCCACTTCAAAAAGCGGGACTTCTGCTCCCAAACGGTGAAGACTGGAGCCGAGCTGTCCCGCAAAGCAGGAATCAGTGTCGCTATCTCCAAAGTCCTACGGAGTCGCTGACGTCGAAGCGGAGCTGCCGCAGCCGAGTCCGCGAAGCTGTGAAAGGTTGATACAACTGGCGACACGTCTGCGCCACTGCTAAGTTCCGCAAAAACGTCGCGCAAAATGCAAATTTCGAAAATTTGCGATAGCTCCCCCCTCTAATTGGGCTTTGTGACAAGTTGTTGCAACCGGAAAACAGCGGATTCCCCTGCAAAACGGCGAAGACCGGGGAAGCAGATCCCGCAAAGCCGGAGTCGATGCCGCTCCTGTAGCGTCGCCGCCGAAACCGCGGCCCAAAGGGAACTTCCGAATCCGAGCAGCTGAGTTCAAACGCAAATCGCTGTAGCTCGGTGCGCGGTTTTACCTGTGACTTTCGAAGCAATGGGTAGTATTGCTTAGTGAAAAATGACACAAATAAAAGAAGCGCCTTGGGGTGGCATACGAGCCACGATGTCCCCTGCAGTGCGTCGCTTCTTGGTGCAGGGTGTTGACGTCCCAAAACACGAACCAAAGTCGTGCTTTACCGCAAAGCGTATCCGGCTACTTCCGACGCTCTCCACCGTAAACGCGTGGTGAAGTCTTGGTGTCGTCGGGTCGTCGCTGCGAAATACCGATAACAAATTCCGCAGTTGCAGCTGCAGAGTCGTAATCTGTAGCCCGGTGCTGTCGGTTCGCCGTGTAGAAACGAAGGTCGCAAATCCGCAGTTTCAGCTGCAGACCCGTGGCTCGATCGTGGTTGAAGGATCGCTGCTACCGATCGTCGAAATTGTAGGCGTTCGTCTACAACTACCGTGGTCACCCGAAATAGATCGTCTAGGCCGTTCTGTTCGATCTCAAGGACAGTGTCAGCTGCCCCGAAGAAAACACAGGTGGAGACAGTTGCGGCTGTCTGGTGCTTGGTGCTGCAAGTCAAGGACAGTGTCAGCCGCCCAGAGTATGCAGTTGCTTTTTGTTTCTGTTACCTACTCCTTCGACAGTGTCAGCTGTCGATAAAACAAGGTGAAAGCTTACTTATTTCCGGTTATGACTGCCTTATTGTCTTCACAGTTTCCCTATGCGTTGTCGAAGTTGTAGTTTGTGTTTGGTGTGGCCAAAAATGTGAGTGGCTGCTTATGTACTTGAAGTTAACACAAATGGAGGAAGTTAGTGTTTAGTCTCGTCGAAACAGCGCGAAATAGCTCTTCTAGTTCAAGTTAACACAGCCCAAACCTACGATAATCTGTGCTTTTGCTTCTGGTGTTTAAATCGGTCAAAAACAGGGAGGCAAGCTAGTTTCGTGCAAGTTAACACAAGCGAAGATGTTGGAAAGTTGTTGAAGTTGATGCTGTGTTTAAACAAGTCAAAGACGGTTAGACAGGTGGTTTTAGTTCAAGTTAACACGAACGAAGACGCTGAAACAGAAAAGATAGCTGTACTGTGGTGCTACTGAAAACAATGATGATTGACGGTTGCAACTACCAAGAAAAGAGACCAAAAATATAACTTACGGGGGTAGCTATTCCCTTAGGTGGAGTCTGTGTTTAAACAAGTCAAAAACGAGACACTACGACGCTTTGCTTCAAGTTAACACAGACGAAGATGCTGGGAGCTCTCTTGACTGTTTTAAAAGTGACGAAGTGAGACAAACCACTCGCACTTTAGGTAGACTCTGTCTTCATCCCTCCCGCCCGTGTGCGGGTATTTGAATCAAAAACGATCTCAAAAAATATTTATTTTTTTTACAAAAAATAAATTATTTAGTCGTGCTTGAGGAGATTTAAAATTATGGCACTCGGAAGAATTTTTACGACTCCGTGGGTAGCCGCGCGTCGTAAAATTTCTTGTCACGCTCTTGTCACTC